CAGTTGATGGCAGAGATATTGTTGATGGTACTAAAAATAAAAATAGACAAAACTGTAGCAACTTGTTTCTTTTAACTATGTTACTTTTTTTTTTGTTAATGTATATAAGCATTATAGTTTAAATTTAGGTATACAAAAATAAAATTTCAAACTCGTTGCTTACAAAGCTAATAATAAATAATAAATTAAAAAAAAACAATTTAACAAAAAGAAATATAAATTAAGGAAATAAGTACAAAAAAATTGTTAAAAAACTGTAAAATCAATAAGATATATGATATTATATATATCTACCACAGCTTTATCTAATAGACACAGCCTAATAATTTTGTGTGTCAATATTAGAAATATGCTTCTTATATACACACACAACTACAAAGCACACTTAGATTGGTGATCTAATGCTATACTAAAATAAGGAGCTGTTAGGACTTCAATAATGGTCTTAATTTTGTATTAACTCGAATGTTTACAAAAACATTTCAGTTTGGTTACATTGCTCAATTTCTTAACACTTATGGAAGGATTGTTACACAAACAATTACCTTTGGACAATAATTTCTAATAATTGTTCAGAAAATTATTTAGCAATTGCAAAATAAATAATTCTTTTTGAAGAATTATACATAAAATGATTGCTAAAGTATTCCCTAAGAGACTAATTTTGCATGAGGATTTATCACTTGAAAACTGTAGCATTGAACTCAACGTTGGTTAAAATAACAACACATGAAGACTACACACAATTAATATAATAATTAGTTGTAACAATTTAATATATAGATATAGAAATAAATGTCAAACAAATATTAAAGGAATTCTCTTTATTAGAATAATAAAGAAGACAAAACATTACCAAACAAACATGGTACCAGAAGCAGACTAAAGAGTTTTACAAAAAGATTTTGGAAAGTGCTTATTTTTTTATTTATTTTTTTTAACATCTTCGCTTCCAACAAGGCTGCAAGCAATCACTAATTAGTGTTGGAAGTTACTGGAAGAGAAAAGATGAAGGTTGTAGAGCAAGATAACGATTGACAGATGACTTAAAAGATTGCAAATTATATGAATCAGGAAAGCAAGATGAACGAAGCAAATTCCAAAGAACTAATGTTTGAAGAAAAAAACTAGACAAATAAGAGTTTTTGGAGCACTTAGGAACAGTAACAAAAAAAGGATGAGACTTAATTGAATGAAGAGTAACACGAGAATGAATTTTAGTAGATGGCACAAGAGACGCTAGCTCTTTCGAGCAGTGCCCATTATAGTATTTGTAGAAAAGAGAAAGAGAAGCAACATTACGACAATGTGACAGAGGTTGAAGGTTGGCTGCAAGAGCAGGTCCAACTATGTTTACAATGCGTTTTTGCATCTTGTCTAAAAAAGAAAGAGCATCATTAAAAGATCCGCCCCAGATATAGCAACAGTATTCCATACAAGGTCGGATTTTAGATTTATAGAGATAGAGAATAGAATCCAGAGTAAAAAAGTGTAGAGTTCGATAAAGAGATGCACCTTTAGCAGATGCTAATTTTGCAACGGATTTGATATAAGGTTTCCAAGAAAGATCAGAAGTGAGAGTTAATCCTAGAAGATAAAGGGTAGACCTTTATCAAAACTATTGTGATAATGATTGGCTGTAAAAAATTGAGTTTTATCTGAATTAAAGTTCACCAGCCACTGTGAGCCCCATGCTGTAGCAGAAGTGAGATCCTTTTCAAGCTCAAATGCCCCCTGCAAGCAATCAGAAAGAGTTGGCTTATTTATAAAAAGAAAAAAGAAAATAGAACACTTATTACCAAAACCAAACAAAATGGACTTCAAGGAATCTAATATTACTGTTATATTAAAAAAATGGAAACAAACTATGCAGTTGTATCAAAAAGCAGCAATGTCAAATAAATCAGAAGAAGAAAAATACTCAAGATTCTTGTTTATTATCATGAAAAAAGAAGAGAACACTTGGACTTGAAATAAAATAGAAAATGACAATGGTGAAATTGATGACCTCACAGTAAAAGAGCTGTTTGAAAGATTCAAAAAACACTGTTTACCGAAAAGAAATCTGGTCTTGGAAAGAAGAAAGTTTTTCTTACAAAAAAAAATCTCAATAAATCATTTGATATTTTTGTGACTAATTTAATAGCTCAAACATAAGAATTTGGCTTAAACATAAGAATTTGAAAATATATAAGATGGCCTTATATTATACAAAATATTTGACAGAATTTGTTCTGTCAATTATTTTGAATTATTTTGAAATTATTTTGAAAAAAATTTTAAAAAAAGTCAAAAACAATCTGCTTCGAAAAGGAGAGGGTTGAACTTCAAAAAAAAAATTAACATATGCAGACCTGAAGAAGTTGCAAATATAGAAATCAATTACACAAAAAAAATATTGATGTTGAAATAAAATTCATAAAGCCAAATCAAGTAAATGTAACAATCGGACTAATACAAAATGGAGAAAATTTGTGAAAAACAAAAATGTATCAAAAAGCAAAACAGACTGGGTTGAACCAAATAAGCAAAAAGTGAATAATTGTTCAAATACAAAACAACAACAAAGGCAGTGCAAGAAATGCAATAGAACACATGAACCAAAAAACTGTCAGGCATTTGACTTCTGGAGAATCTTTAAAAGTATCAATAATAAGGGCAAGTCTGTAATTCCACATCTTTTGTAAGGTTCAGAATTTGTCACCTCAACAAAAGACAAAGCTGAATTGTTTGCTTAGAACTTTTTATCAATCTCATCTCTTGATGCCACTAGTTGCATTCTACCTGATATAGCCATCAAACAGGTTGATCCATTGATAGACATCCATATCACTCCAGCTTCTGTATCTAAAGTGATTTCCTGCTCAGACTCTTCTACAGCTTGTGACCCGGACAACATACCTGTTACAGTCTTGCAGAAGCGTTCTCTGGAGCTATCGTCTATTCTCTCAAAACTATTTAACAAGCGCTTATCAGAATCTTGTTTTCCGGGCTGCTGGAAAGCAGCATCTGTTATCCCTGTTTTAAAAAATTCTGGAGAGCAATTTGATTCGTCTAACTATCATCCGATTAGTCTTCTTCCTATCATAAGCAAGTTTTTTGAATCTTTAATTAACAAACACTTAATCTCTCATCTTGAACCTAATAACTTACTTTCTGATCATCAATATGGATTTCGATCTTCTCGTTCTACGGCTAATTTGCTAACAGTAATAACCAATAGGTTTTATTGTGCATTAAATAAAGGTGAAGAGGTTAAGATCATCGCTCTTGACATTTCTAAAGCGTTTGATTTTAAAAGTTTAAACTCATATACAAACTCAAATATTTGAAAACATATCATAATTGAATAACTTAAAATGGATATCTCCTCCACTCCCTATAATTTGGTAGATGGTAGAGGGCACAGAGATTGATATTTCAACAATTATAACTCAATGTAGCCCAAATTTGGACTTAAATTGTTTTAGAATTAACTTATCAATATTTATATATATATATATATATATATATATATATATATATATATATATATATATATATATATATATATATATATATATATATATATATATATATATATATATATATATATATATACATATATATACATATATATATATATATATATATATATATATATATATATATATATATATATATATATATATATATATATATTCAGGGTTCAAAATAGCAGCCCGACATAGGACATTGTCTGACACTTGTCTGGTAAAAAACAACATCTATCAGTCATTTTGTCTAATATATATTTTGTGTGCATTTAATCATCTTAGTTGTTCCAAAATTATTAATAAATTCAGGAGTATATATAAACTTTATTTTTTGAACTTTTTAATTTTTATACAAAACAGAAAATGAAGTTGAACACTCAACTACTTTAATAAAATAGTTTTTATAAATTTCTGATAGTTTTTATAAATTTCAAATGAATATTTTAGCTTTTAAAACTCCTTTTAAATTTATTTTATAAAAATTTTAACGTAAAAGTTAAAGTTTTTATAAAATAAAGTTTTTTTAATGCTTGTTGTTAAAATTACTTTTTAGTACTTTTTACTTTTTAATGCTTATAGAAACTTTTTATTACACTATTCAATTTGAGTTATGTTATGTAATCCTTAGCGCTAGTTTTTCGCTATCAAAAGTGTTTATAAAAGTAATCATAGAAAAAGTTTGAAAATATTTATTTAAAAAATACATATAATGTAATCATAATATTACTTGATAATTTAAATAAAATGGTTTTATTGTAAACAACTATTAAAAATAATTTGCTACATTATTTAATGAAGTATTAAGTAAACATAATAATTTTTGTACTATAATATATTTATAATAATTTACAAACAATTTCGAATTGTATAGTATTTTTTTAAAAAACATAAAATAAATATGTTTTCCTTTTCAAAATTTAGTTTTTTGGCTTTAGATTTTTTCTTTTTTGTTAAAATTTTCTTTTTTTAAATGAGTTTTCTTTTAAATTTTCTTTTAATTTTCAGCATCTTTTTGAAATTGACAAGGTAAAAAAATTGTAGACTTTTTTTTACCATAAAAGTCTCTTTCGACTATACTATAAGGATATATATATATATATATATATATATATATATATATATATATATATATATATATGTGTCTGTGTATTTTTTATTTTTTTTTATTCCAAAAATAGTATCAAGTCAATATAAATACAAGTGTACATTTAATATTCAATGTTTCTTTAATATAAAATGTTTATACTGGAGAATACAAAAACAAGTCTGTGTACAAATTATAGTGTAAATGTAGTCTAAACCAATAAAGAAGAGGCTTCTCTATGTTGATACAGATAAGCCGCACAAAACAGCTGGTCAAAAAAGCTATGATAAAAAATTTTTAAAGATATTTACAGAAAGTGAGTCAACTTCTTCCTGTGAAAGAGCGCTCTAGTGTTTTGTTACTCTGTTAACCTTTGATTAGTTGAGGCAAGAGTCGCTGATTGTGCCCACGGAGATTATAACTTGTTGTTAGATTTATTAGGGTTTGAGGTTAAATGAAAGTTGACTTCGTCAATCTGGTGAGTTAAATTGAATTGTTGGATTAGGTCATGTTCTTTCCCGCAATCCTTAAGTGATGTTAGTTTAAGCATTTACAATCTTTTTTCATATAATAGATGTTTTATAACAGATATTGCTTTTATTACACGCCTTTGGACTTATTATCGCAATAACTTTTTTTAGGTGGGGAGACCAAACCTGTACTGCAAAATCTAGATGTGGACGAATATATGTACAGTGTGTTCCATAAAACTAGTCTGCGGCTACAAAAAGCATTTTGAGACAATTAAGCATCGTTTCTTTCAATGTACAATGGGTTTTATCTGACCGTTTTATTGTGTATGAGTGTGTTTTGTTGTTGTTGTTATTCACCTCCTCAAGGCCGAGAAGGCCACTACAGACGAGGAGGCTACTTAATAGTGGTTATAACCCTCTCTCAACTCTATAACTCCGAAACACGAACCTTGACAAACAAGGCCGCTGCGCGGAGAAACAAGTTGAGCGCGGTACTACCAGGGACATGGTGGGGATCGAACTCGGAACCTCTCGCTTATGAAGCGAGTGTTTTACCACTACACCACTACCGCATATAACTTTTTTAGTTGTTAATGCGCCCCACATGCATAACTCTGTATTTATAGGTGTTAAAAGGCATCAGCCACTTGTGTGACCAGTCAACTATTTTATCTATGTCAGCTTGATGAAGTCTGGCATCTTGCAGCTATTTGATGACGCTGATAATTTTACCATCATCAGCATAAATTTTTACATGGAGTACAATGTTGTCTGGCAAATCATTAATGAATAAGATCAAAAGCAGTGGACTAAGAACTGAGCAATTGGGATTATATATATTAAGCTTTGTAAACCAAACTCTAATGATACTACCATTTCTTCTTGTCACGATAAGAAGCCAACTCCCTCTGATTGCTTGCAGGGGACATCTGAGCTTGAAAAGGATCTCACTTCTGCTACAGCATGGGGCTCACAGTGGCTGGTGAACTTTAATTCAGATAAAACTCAATTTTTATCGGCCAATCGTTATCGCAATAGTTTAGACCTTCCTATATTTATGAACTGTAATGTACTCGATGAGTCTCCTACCCTTCATCTTCTAGGATTAACTCTTACTTCTGATCTTTCTTAGAAACCTTATATCAAATCCGTTGCAAAATTAGCATCTGCTAAAGTTGCTTCTCTTTATTGAGCTCGTCACTTTCTTACTCTGGATACTATTCTCTATCTCTATAAATCTCAAATCCAGCCTTGTATGGAATACTGTTGCTATATCTGGGGCAGATCTTCTAATGATGCCCTTTCTCTTTTAGACAAGGTGCAAAAACGCGTTGTAAACATAGTTAGACCTGCTCTTGCAGCCAACCTTCAACCTCTGTCACATCGTTGTAATGTTGCTTCTCTTTCTCTTTTCTACAAATACTATAATGGGCACTGCTCGAAAGAGCTAGCGTCTCTTGTGCCATCTACTAAAATTCATTCTCGTGTTACTCGTCATTCAATTAAGTCTCATCCATTTTCTGTTACTGTTCCTAAGTGCTCCAAAAACTCTTATTCGTCTAGTTTTTTTCCTCGAACATCAGTTCTTTGGAATTCGCTTCCTTCATCTTGCTTTCCTGATTTATATAATTTGCAATCTTTTAAGTCGTCTGTCAATCGTTATCTTGCTCTACAATCTTCATCTTTTCTCTTCCAGTAACTTCCAACACTAATTAGTGGTTGCTTGCAGCTTTGTTGGAAGCGAAGATAATTAAAAAAAAAAAAAAATTTAGTTCTGCAACTAATTTGACTGTAATAGCTACAGGTTAGTATTATGTTTTAAACAAAACTTGAATTTAGGGTTTTAAGTATTTAATATATTTATAACAAAAGGGAGGTTTTGATTATGAAATACTCAATATTTAAGCTATCATCTTTTTTTCAACGAACCAACCAAAACACATAATTTTTTGTGATTATTCATTCAATAAATTTGCATTATTTTACTGTAACTATATTTTTATGATTAAAATATTTTTATTCATCTAGCCAAACATTGTTGCTTAGAAATATAATCTAGTCTTCCTATTTTTTTTATTTTAAATTGTTTACAGCTTATGTCTTCTGTCTTCTGCCTTGTTCTTTAACTGCCTTTATTGTTTTCTGAACTTAAGATTTTTTGAAAATTAACTATGAAATTTACAAATAACTTTTAATTTACAAATTTATTTTATTTTACAAAATAATTTATTTTAATTTACAAACAATTGTAATGGACTTCTTTTAAATTATACCAAATCAAAGAACACAATAAAAAAAAATAAGAAAATATTATTCAATAATAAAAGTATAATTAATATGAAATTGCAATATCAAAAAACATTTTATGAATAGAATATAACTATTTTTTACCATCCACTAGATAAAACTCAGTCCAATTGGTTGAATTACAGTAAATATTATAATCACTGATGCGCACATCCAAAAAGCAGTTTTGAGAATCATTGTAAATAATTAAATATTTTAGGCCTAAAACAAAAATTGATTATTTCAATTAAAAAAAGTACTGGATTTCCTTAATACAGTAAACACACAGCAGCCAAGTCAAACTTAGATAGCAAATACAAAACAATTGATTAACAGACTGCATGTGACTTTTTTTTATCACTTCTTTTTAAATCACCTCTGACCAGTCACCCTTCCTAATTTTTATACTAAATCCCTGATTAAAAATACTTTAATAAACCTACCTTACTACTAACTACACATTAGAGTGTATACAGGTGAAAAAACCTTGACTTTTTTTAATTTCACAATAACATTATCTTTAACAATATTTTTATTTTAATATAAAGAAATTATTTGTAAATGTTAATTATATGTGTATATTAGAGTGATTCCATCTTGACCATTAAAAATTGGTTTAAATGAGGAAAAAGGTAGAAAAGACAAGGAATTTGGTATAGAGAGGTATAAAACAAGATAATAATCAGCAGTAAAAGGAGAAGATATTCTGAATCTAATAACTTACTTTTCATCCATATTGATGAAAAGTAAGTTATTAGATTCAGAAAGTAAGTTATTAGATCCAAGATAAGTGATTGTAAATTAAAGACTCTTTAATCTCCCAAATTTTTGAAAATAGGGAAAACAGATGCTGTTTTCCAACTGACTGGAAAACAAGACTCGGATAACCAGTTGTTAAATAATTTTGAAATTATAGACAATAGCTCTGGAGAACTTTTGTGCAAGACTGGTATGTTGTATGGACAACATGCTGTAGAAGAGTCTAAGCAGTTTACATAAGCTGGAGTGATACGAATATCAAGCAATGGCTCAACCTGTTTGTTGGCTATATCAGTTAGGATGTGATTAGAAGAATTAAAAAATGATATTGATAAAAAGTTTTTAGCAAACAATTCAGTTTTGTCTTTAGCAGAGGTAACAAAATCTGAACCATGCAAAAGGAAAGAAACAACGAATTTGCCTTTATTATAGACACTGTTAAAGATTCTCTTGAAGTCTCTGGAGCTTAATTATTTAGATGAAATAAAAGATTTTGTGACCTGAGAACAGCGGGCTTTGGCATTAGGCTAAACTTTTTTACAATGGTTTTTAGCAATAGTAAACAGACGTCTGTTTTCTAGAGAACTGTTTTGGATAAGATATGGAAGTAATGGTTTCGATTGAAAATTGCAGTAGCACAATGAGAGGAAAACCATGAAGAGTGAGGCTTGACTTAGAATCATTAAAAGGGAATAAAAGATTCCATGTTGATTCAGCTAAATGAATCGAAGAAGCTACATAAGAAGCATGTTTGTCAGCAGGAAAACGAAAGATTTTTAACCCAAGGCTATCACGAAAAAAATTATGAAAAGAGTCCCAGTCAGCTTAAAGGTAGTTGTAAAAGATAAAATGATAGAGGGATTATGATGATGAAGAAGAATAAGATAATAGTTTTAGGGATATCAAACCGTGATCAGAAGCACCTAAGGGTGAATGTGGAGAAACTGAGCACTGACTAGGATACTCAACTTATGTCTAGAAGACATAAGTTGAGAAGACAAGGTAAATGATTTGGATTGTTTGGAAAGCGAGTTGGAAAATTGACTATTTGTGTTAGAGATTAAGAAAGGTAAAGGTAGTGAGATTTAACTGTGTCACTGAGACTAGAACCAAAGAATTCAGTGTGATTAGCATTAAAGTCATTAATAACAATGATATTAGCTAAAGGATAAAGAGAAAGAGCTCTGTCAATTTGATCAGAAATAGATATAGAACAAAGAGAAAGGTGATATAGTGATGTGGTGATAAACAAAAGCGCATAAAAGAATAGATTGTGGATTCAAATCTAATTTCTTGATAAATGGCTAAATTCCTTATGAATTTAAGAAAGATAACCATCAACACTAAGACCACAAGATGAAACAGTAGAACTCAAATTAGTCTCACAAAGAGCAAGTAATTCTGGTGAACTTTGCAAAAGATAAGACTTAACAGAAGAAAAGTTACTTTGAAGACCACAAACATTAGTGAATGATAGAGTGAGAGAACTTGGTGATTACAATAGTTTTTTGTGTTTTATGGCTTTTAATACTTTTGTTGCTTTTGTGTTTAAAAGTGGTTAAAGGACTTGGATGGAAGTACATTTTAAGTCAAAGTTTGTTTCTCCGAGCCTTTGCTTAAAAAGTTTATAAACTTAGGCTTTAACCTTATGCTTGAACACCAACCTTTGATTGTAGCAAAAAATAACACCAAAAAAGTTTTATACAAGTTAAATAAATATAAGTGGATTATCGAGTTTGATTAAATTAATTGTCAAACCTGAAGATCATGTTACAATAGAGCATACTATTAATAATTTCAGAGAAATTGAGTTTGAGAAAAAAGTAAACAATTGATACATAAGTTTAATATAAATATTACAAAAAAAAATTTTGTTCTAGCAAACATAACATTGATTCATTACAAACTTGCAATATAGTAAAAAATGCAGTGTTAAACTTCTCCAGTAAACTTTTATCATCCAAGAAAATTTACAGAATAAATTTCATTAAATATATTCTTGCATGATTAAATAAGAATTTCGAGAATATTTGTACCCGATGAAAAGTTTAGCAATTAAATGCTGTTAATTAAACACATTTTTTTGAATAAAATTTGGATAGCATAAAATTGACAACTAATTAAAATTCAAATAGTAAATCTCTTAAAAAGCATACCAATAAAAAGCTAAACAAATCAACTTTTCAATTAAATAAGTTTTTAACACATTGAACAATAAGAAATGCAAAGTGCTTACAGCCATTGTTTTTATAAACAGTAGCTAAAATATTAAGCCCAAAACAAAACTCATTTAATGTTTAAAAATAATGTTTTTCTTCAAAAGACATTTGTAACTAAATACTTAACGCATCTACAAGTTAAATTTTACAGTATTAACGCTGCTTTATTATAGAACTAAATTTAAAGGTTTTCTTTATCAAGGATTACTCAAGATTTTTTAACTTTGCCAAGTTATAACTTTTTAGAATTACACAATATGATTCTTATTTGTTCTTGATTATGTAGAGAATTATTTAAACCTTTATCAAGCATTACTAAAATTTTTTTAACTTTGTTAAGTTATATTTTTTAGAATTAATTAATAGGGCTTTTATTTGTTCTTGAATTATGTAAAGTATTAACTAACCCTTAAGAAGAAACAAATTTTATGTGTCTAGAGTGAAAATTTATGTACAAAACAAAATAAATTGTGAAGCATACTCAAAAGCTGCTCACAGAGGATTGCGGTCAAAGTTTTAAAAAATGAAAAGCAGCTGTCAGTGGTTTGTGGTAGTCAAAGTGTTAAATAATACTTTAAATTTGGCAATAGACAAGCTTAAAATATCTGAAATATTTTATACATATTTTTAATGTAAACTCTGCGAAATTAGGAAAAAAAAATCTATAATTTGATGAAAAAACAATTTTCAGATTTCTTATCAAAATTCTACTATGATGTCATATACTAAAACTATTTGGAATTAAACGCGCTTAAATAAATTATAAAGTCTGTAGACTTTATAATTTAATTAAAGATTTAAAGCAACTAACTAATATGGAGACAGCTTCGAGTAAAATAAATTTTTTCTTGGTATATGCTTAAATAAATTATAAAGTCTGTAGACTTTATAATTTATTTAAAGATTTAAAGCAACTAACTAATATGGAGACAGCTTCGAGTAAAACAAATTTTTTCTTGGTATATGTTTATTATTTTGTTTTACTAAAAAAAAAATTCAGCCCAAACATTTTTCTTTTATCGTTCTCTTTAATATGAATACAACTTCTCTACAAAAGTCTCTGCACTTTGAGATCCTTTTAAGTTGTACCCTGGTTAAGTCTGACTATTTGCTAACTTATACTGTTTATTGGAGTCCCTTCAGCAAAAAAACTTTTCTTAATTAGGACTTTTATTTTGAATTGCATATAATAATAAAACGAAGGTTGCTAAAAGAAAGCTGTAATAGAAAAATACATAATGCTAAAATAACTCAACAAAGGAGACTTGCCTATATCAAAGAAACATGTCTGACTATTTGCTAACTTATACTGTTTATTGGAGTCCCTTCAGCAAAAAAACTTTTCTTAATTAGGACTTTTTGAATTGCATATAATAACAAAACCTTCAATACATTAAGAAAAATTTCAAACTTTGATTGCTGGAAAATAAAATACTTTATTTTCCAGCATCAAATATAATTTTAAAAAATAAACATTTTCATTCATATCTTCGATTCGGTTAATTTTTAATTAAATTTTATTTATTAAAAATGTCGAAGGTTGCTAAAAGAAAGCTGTAATAGAAAAATACATAATGCTAAAATAACTCAACAAAGGAGACTTGCCTATATCAAAGAAATATGGCATTCTTAAGCAAAAAATGGCTGGATGATCAAAAGAAAAAAATACAACATATTCAGAAATCAAAAAAAAATTAAACTATAAAAATAAAAGGATAAAGCTTGTTATATGTGGTTTTTAAACATCCAACACCAAAGCATTCATTTATCATTCTGTGCTGATAAATCTCCGAATCTCAATAAGTCAAACATTTTTTAAAAAGTCCAACTTAACAAAAGCTTCGCTTGATTTGATAAAACATGTTATATGTGGATTTTAAACATCCAACACAAAAGCATTCATTTATCATTCTGTGCTGATAAATCTCCGAATCTCAATAAGTCAAAAATTTTCAAAAAGTCCAACATAACAAGAGTTTTGCTAAATTTGGACATTCACTAAGTCTGACAATATACAGTGTCCTCTATAACAAAGAGAACACGTGTTGAAATTTATAAAAACACATAATTAAGCCTATTACCATTTTAATTTTAGTAAAAAAACTATTGATTTAAGTAAAATGTTGCCTAAGTAATTATTTAGACTGAATATATATTTAAAATATATATATATAGGCTAAATATATTAAAAACCCTGAATACAAATAAAACCCCTGGAGAAAATAAAAAAAAAAATTATTATTT